TATATTGCAAAACTCTACCAGTTACATTCTCTCACTACTTTGCGGCAACTGTTAACCATTTGTTTTAATACATTGACTAGACACTGACAGACAACATTTATATTTAAATGCACTGATGACAAATTTGCTGGGGACAATTCAGAAGTCGCAGACAAGCCCTGAAGCTGTGAGCAATGCGCTCTCTGTCTCTCTCTCCCTCTTCTCGTGCTCTCTAAATACAGCCAGGCTGAGGTCACAAACTGTCTGCGACTCACAGTGCAAAAACAGATCTGCTGCACAGTCACACCTGGCACCACAATGCTTTCACTACAGTTCTCCGTCTGTAAGAAGCCAGAATAGAAACATCTTCTAGAAAAACCCAGTGCTGGTTTGAACAGACCTCTGCACACTAACTCAGACCTCATGAAGTCTGATAAGACTGGGGGCCAATCTGTTGGGTCATTTGGTCGAGTAGCAACTGTTCCATTAGGGTCTGAGCTGTATCTGATGCTGGCTGTATTTCACCTGGGTCTGTGTGACCTGCTAAAGAATTCTGGACTGGGTCTGTGCTGGTACTGGCTGAGACTGGATGTGGATCAGCTGTGCTTATACTGGCTGGAGTCTGTACTGGCTGATCCAGCATCTTAAGCATTTCCCCTCTAAATGAGATATATGCTATCAGTTCCATCAGGCCCATTCAAACTGGCTCCCATCGGCGTTGCCAGGTCATTTTCATGCTGAGCTTCAGCTGTGCTTATACTGGCTGATGATCCAGCATCTTAAGCATTTCCCCTCTAAATGAGATATTATCTATATATATCTATCTCTATATATAAATGCTATCAGTTCCATCAGGCCCATTCAAACTGGCTCCCATCGGCGTCGCCAGGTAATTTTTCCGGGGCTAAAGCCCCAGATGTTTTGACTGTAGACCCGAATGTAACTCAACAGCAACAAAAATATTGTTAATATGTTAATATGCAATAATCTCTATGACGCAGCCTGTCTCGCAGGTCACGATACGTGAACTTCGAACAAAATGTATTCATTTTGTTCGAAGTTCACGTAACGTGTCCCCCCACCGTTACTCAGCCTGGCTGTATTTAGAGAGCACGAGAAGAGGGAGAGAGACAGAGAGCGCATTGCTCACAGCTTCAGGGCTCGTCTGCGACTTCTGAATTGTCCACAGCAAATTTGTCATCAGTGCATTTAAATATAAATGTTGTCTGTCAGTCTCTAGTTAATGTATTAACACAAACGGTTAACAGTTGCCGCAAAGTAGTGAGAGAATGTCACTCAGCTGTCTGAGGTGATATTTCTGTCTGATCACAAGTGTTTTCAGTTTTCTTCCCCTGATGAAGACCAGTGCACTTGTCTCATTGAGTAGGCTACAGTCCCAGACAGGCTCTGTGTCTGGCCTCAGGGGTGGACTGGTAATCTGGCATACCGGACAAATGTCCAGTGGGCCGACGAACCTTTGGGGCCGGTGTAACAAATTTATTTATGTAACCATTTTTAAAAAATGGGCTAACCATCGACCCCATAAAGCATAGGCCTATACTGACATTAGGCTGTCCAATCACATCTTTTACAAGCCCCCACTCCTTCCCCCTCTGCTCAAGTGTTGTGGGCCGGGGGTAAAAAAGGTTTGCTACCCCCCTGGGGGTCGCGACCTGGTCCAAGGGGGGTCGTGAGAATGCTGCTATAGACACAAAAATGGGAAAAAAATAACTTAACAGTAACTAGCCCGACTACAGTTGTGAATGGAATCACTTTGGGTGGACACTGTAAATATTTTGCACTGTTTAATCCAGTAGGTGGCGGTAATGCCAACCGCTATAAAACGATAAAGAAGAATCAGGCAGGAAGTGCTTTGCAGGTTCGAAAACGCAAGGCGCACAGCAATGCCTTTTTTGGTTGAATTTAGAAAAGCGCAAAGAGCTGCGGTTTTTTAATGTTGATAGGCAACTACTGTATCAGCTGTCCTGTCAGTATAGTCAAAGATTATAGCGCTAAGTAATAACAGTAATTAGCAGAAACATGATCACAACTCACAGGTCTGTGTCTTTTGTTGCTAAAAACAACTGCTTTAAAAAAAAAAAATAGACAAATGGAGGGCGCCTGCTCTGGCACTGTTTTGAGTGTGTGAGGTGAACAAACACACGGGAGACAGGGAAAGGGAGATCTGTGTGGGCACGAGACCCTCAGAAAGAGGAGACACCGCTGGTGGTAGCCCACCAGTTGGTCCAGGGGCTTCGTCTTAATGATGGTCAGTTTAAGGCTTATTTTAGGATGAGTCTGGGTCACGAAATATTTTCAACTTCAGAAAGGGGTCGGACTGCCAGAAAGGTTAAAAATCCCTGTATTACAGTATTTTCTTTATTTTGAATTGTCACCTCAGACATTTCCTCAATAGATTGGTGCAAAAAAATTGGTGAAAACTTTAAAAGATTTCTGGGCTGGGCTTAGCCCCCAATGTTTCAAGAGCCTGGAAATACCCCTGCTGGCTCCTCCTCCAGGTTTCCTTCAATATATTTTCAAATATAAAATACTGTTTATAAAATTCCTATTTACTGAGATGTGCACCCATATTGCAAAGTCTGTCCAGCTAATCAACATTTTAACAGTCAATGTGAATACACTGCTTCCCATCTTGCATTAGTCCAGAGTTGTAACTAAACTTCACCGTCTTGTTTTTGAATGATGTATGTGATGATGTATGAGTTCCATCACATCCTGTCTGGACTGGTCCCACAGATGTTTCTTGCTTGAGTGAGAGTTTAATTTCTTGCACACGCATATGAACGCATTTCCACGCGCAACGCGAGCTACAGTTTATATGCACCATCGGCGTTTATCAAACGTAACAAATAGTTGTATTTCACTCCAACATTGTTCAGTCACAGTCTGGCAAACAAACTCTGCGCTGCTTAGCTGGTCAGAAGGATGGACAGACTGGAAATTCACTGCAGCTGCACATTAGGCCAAGTGTGATCTACATCATGAGAGGAGAGAACACAAGTTTAACTGACTGCTGTTCCCGCACTTCACTCTCATTGAGTTTTCTCTCTTCTTGTACCTAGGAGGATAAACCCTCTTCATCCTCTCATCAAAGTTTTAAACATTCGCATTCACCTTTGACAGGAAAGTGAGGCGGGGGTGTCTAGCTCTGCGCTGGACTGTCACAGCAGTCGGCTTTCAGTTTTTGTTTTTCAATGCTACTCCACTCAGGTGCGCTGCATAGGCTACTAATACCAATGTAATGAGGTCTCCTGCAGAATGTAAAGGAGTAAAAAGTCGATATTTGACTTAGAAAAGTAGCGAAGTGAAAGTAAAAAGTTGTAACAAATTCTCAAATAAAAGTAGAGATACCGAAAAAACTACTTAAGTACAGTAAAAAAGTATTAGTACTTTACTTTCCACCACTGATAATATAACATTACAGAACAGCTGGACAACATATGACCCCATGTTTTATGTACACACACACACCTGGCATCCCATAACGCAGGCCTGTCAGCTTTTTTTCTGCTGGTCTGAAAGCTGTCAAAATATTGACACCTAAAAACAGATGAGCAGAGAAGGCAAAAGAAGAAGAGGAGAACAAAAGGAGAGGAGAGTACAGTGGAGAGATGAATTTAAATTCAGGACAAGTGAAGGTAGGATGCAGGAGGAAGAGAGGAAAGTAAGATTGTAGCTGGTAAGGAAACAGGATGTAGTAAACTGAAAAGACGCCCATTCAAACAGACTTGTTCCTCTTTCCGACTCCGTCTACATCCCTCCATATCTTTTCTCCCCGTCAGACTCAACTAGCATCACACTGTCCCAGCTTATTACATCCCAACTTTAGTTCTCTCTCCATTAAGTTCATCCTTAATGGAAGAATAAAACTGCCTTTCACTTCCTCCTCAAAGCACATTAATCTTCATTCAGCTAGTTCCTTAATGGCTGAATACAACACCATCAATGTACAAAATAAGGGGGGGGGGTCCTGGAAATTTAAGGGAAAACCCCAATTCCTTACTTGTTTTAAATTAAACTTTAAAAACAACTTTGAAAACCACAAAGAAAATGCAATGGCTTCTTTCTGTTACAGCTACTACAAAATACAAACCACTGGAATTTGACACCTTGCACGCTTGCATCTAAAATCAATTGAACATTCAACACATTATTTTCCACTTTAAGTGACTTATTGCCATCTACTTCCTTTTGTGCAAAAAAATAACTGGGCACCTCACAGGAATTCACATCTCCCGGCAATCTGATTTATCTCAAGAAATAACAGTATTTGGAATGATGGGTTTTGAGGAAGAGCTGTGATAGAGACTGAACTCAAGCCCAGCAAGGTTGGTTAAAATTACAATCAATACTTTGTGATTAAATTGCCAGTAAAATCTTCCTCCTACCATCTCAAATGGTTCTTGCTCTTTTGTTTCCAGGCACATTGAATTGAGGTGAATATTTTAGAAGATCACCACACTCAAAATGCTTCAGGGCAAGAAGGCCACAACAGTCAAAATCTGGAGAAAAGAAGGCTCCAAACATGCCAGTGCAAATATTGAAAGATAAATCCTGGACCTTCATCAGGCAAATGTTTGACAAACAGAATCCCAGACCATTTAACGACATCAAATAGAGCACACCTGTGCTTTACCATGCAAGTGCACATGGGAAATGCAGTTCACATTCGTCGTTCCCAAGTCCAAATACATAGGAAACTCCAGAACTATAACTCACTATATCACAAACACTAAGGATAAATTAATACAGAAAGTCTTTTTTGGCAATTAACTTGCTGGGGCACTCTGAAGGTCCCCCGCTTTCCTCTGCAAACAATATATAAGCACAATATCAGCTGAAATAATTAAGGTCTCAAAGTCAGATATTGACATGGGGTCCTCATATTCCCTGTTACGGCTGTATGTATTACCCTGTGCTGTGTCCATGTTCTCTTCTGTCCTCTAGTTCTGCTCCAGGAGTGCTCCAGCTGATTACTGAACGAGGTCCACCTGGCCTTGGAAGGCGGTCTTTAAAAGCTCTTGTGCAGTGTCAGAAGGGAGGCTTTTTGATTTGGGACTGCTAGTCTTGCTGCCTCTCAGCTGGGGCATTTTGTGGTATGTTGTGTTTTTGGTGTTCTTAATTTATTGTCTTGTTATGTTAATAAATTCCACTGATTTGGTTGTTTTAAAGGTGTTCATTTGTGTTAGGTTTGGGTCAGTGTTGGAGTGTTGTTCGCCCCATGTAGCCACCAAAAGGTAGCGTGTAACATTTCCATATTTCAAAACAAAGTTAGAGTTGATCATATTGCCACAAACTAATTGCTGCACTGCGAAACTGAGGCTTCTGGGGGCCTCTGAAAAATCAGTATGACAACAACCCTTGAAGTGACAAGCAGCAGGATGATTAAGATCAGCATATTCACTTTTATGTTCACTGAGCTTCTGTTTAAAATACATTTTGGAAAGTATACTTTCTTTACATGAGTTTAATGAAAAGACTGATTCCACTCTCCAAAGTATAAAGCTACAGGTAACAGACACTTAGCTTAGCACAAAGACTGGAAACTAGCACCTAGCCAAGACATAGTCCAGTATGTAACTTCCTGCAAAACCACAACTTCTTGTTTTAACTCTTCAGACAGTAATGGAAAATGAGAATTCGTCAATTTAGAGGAAGTTACAAGTTTAGGTAGCTAATGCTGAAAGAGAATGCGAATAAACATATTTCTAAAAACATTCCTTTAAACTGCATGGGTATTCCCCCCCCCCATATTTGTGCCAGTTTTCTTATTTGAGTTTACAGATGATGTGCATGACAAAATAAATGCTGAATTTTTGTGGCTGCACACATACAGTTTTCAGTACTAACCTGGCTGGCTGTAAACTCTAAGTAGAGCATTGCTTGCGAGAGAGAGAGAGAGAGAGAGAGTGTCTTAGCTGTTAGCACAGGCATTTAGCTCCATGTCAACTGGCTCTTTAGATCAATACTCTCAGAAGCCAGCTGTTTGTTAGAGAACATACAAGCGAGTGTGCATGCTTGAGATACGAGTGAAGAAAAGAACATGCAGCATGTGTTTGAAAATCCAGACGGCACAAGAATTTAATGCATTTCTGAAGCAATGGCTCTCAACCTGCTTCACAGTACCATACTTATACTTCAGGGAAGAGTAACAAATACTTCCTAAAATGATTCACCATAAACTGATTTAGACTATGAATTCTATTTCAACATGTCAATTTTCCATTTTTTTCTCTAAAGTGTCTAAAACTCTTTATTGTGTATGGTCTGTAGGCACGGGAATGTTTAATCAGATAATGGGTAGCCAATCAGATTTCAGGGCTGGCCTAGGGGGTGCCACTGGCCACCCCTGAAATCCATTTGGCTTACCCATTATCCTAGACTATGATTTGCCATTTGCAAATAAATGCATTTAATTTAACAAAACTTTTAGGACTGTAAGAAACTGTACAATACTATAATATTGTAGGTATGAGTAGTGGAGACAGATATGGTAAATGAATGCTCTTCTGATGTGTGTATGCGCACGCATGTACTTCATACCACCCCAACATCACACCGTGCCCCTCTTGGGGGGCTCACCCCAGTCAAAAATGTCTGGACGCACCACTATGTGGTCCTCTTTTTCTGTGTTTGTCCAATGCCCAAAATGTCTGTATTCTTTTGTAATGCAAAAGACTAACTAGCACAAATGTTTTGGCTGATTCCTTCATCAGTGCGCAGCCTATCGATTATCACAACTGTCTCCAAACTTTTAATCAAGCAAGAAGTGTCAGGTGCACATAGGATTGTCATAGAAATGGAGCACAGAGATCAAATTACAAGGGGACCCACGCTGACAAAAGCGTCAAAACATGTGTGCTTGTTTGTCTTCTGCATTACAAATGAATAAAGATACAGTAAAAGTGGATTTAATATTTTGTTTACTCTGAGATGTATGGGTAAACCAGGTAAACAAGGAAGAATGTGGTGATCCTTCACTATACTGCCCAGAATTAATCCACAAAACACACAGTTTTAGGAAATAATTAATGACTGACGAAGAAGAAAAGCATGACATTTAGTTTTGTCTCAGATTATTATTCGAAATTAACCTGATTACACTGAGAGCTTCTTTTTTCTCATCACATTCTGTGACGACAGGAAGTCGATGCAGAGTGAGACATCTTGCTGTTTCTTATGTTTCTGCTGCTATCATTTTCCCTCAGGACCCTCCACAGGGTACCCAGAGTTTTCTTCACCATCCATCCTCTACGCTCCAGGCGAGACTGGATGAGGCTGTCTGGATGTTTTACACTGTGGGACAGCTGTAAAATAGAGGACACCATCAATCCAGCTGCCAGCCATCTTTACACACAGGGGGGCATAATGATAAAGGTTCTGCAGCAAATAAAGGAACAACCACATACAATCCAAAACTGTGAAGCAGTGGGCTTCATTGGTTTCATTGGTTCATTTTCTGTGATTAATCAAAAGTTTTGATTTGCACAGTAAGAAAGCCAAAATAGGTTTAATGATTCACATGTTTTCTAGTATTCACAAAATTAAATCAAGGATAAATGAATTGACCAAAACAAATGTTCTTGTTTCTCACACTCAGACTGCAACACCAAAAGTGTGTTACATTATACTCATATTGTGATTGTTGAACATCTCATTTCAAAACCATGAGCATTGGGTTGATGCCACAACAGCCTCCACTATTCTGGTATCAGGCTTTCCACCAGACTTTGGAAGGGATTTGATCATTGACGTCCAACACTGATGAGACCTGGCACCGTTTGCATTCCAGTTCATCCCAAAGGTGCTAGGTGGGGTTGAGGTTGTGGCTTTGTGCAGGCCAGTTTATTTATGGATCTTGCTTTGTGCACAAGGGCACTGTCAAGATGAAACAATAAAGGAGCTTCCCCAAAGTGTTCCAACAAAGTTGGACGCACTCTGTTCAATATACACAATCATTGTACTGTATGCTGGAGCATTGAGATTTCCTTATTTGGAGTCCAGAAAAAGCACACAAGAGTACAGGTGCATCTCAAAAATATGTAATATTGTGGAAAAGTTCATTATGAGTACCAGAACCAGACTGAGAGATTAAAGGCTCAGGAAACCTTTGCAGGTGTTTTGAGTTAATTAGCCAATTAGCCAATTAGAGCTCTTCTCAAGTCTACATTTCTGTATTATAAATTCTTTATTTAAGATACTGGAGTTTTGATCTCCATGAGCTGTAACCGTAGTAATCTAGATAAATAGTTTACTTTATGTGTAATAAATCTAGAATATATGATAGTTTCGCTTTTTGAATAATAAAAAAAACGTTTCAACGATATTCCTTTTTGTTTTTTTTAGATGAACCTGGAAGTAAGCAGGGGTTTCCCCATACTTTTGACCGTAAAGTCAAATCCCACACACAGAATAAGGCATGACAGCCCACACATCACCAGGTCACATGTTACAATCCAACCAAATTTATCACCACAGAACAATCACAATAGAAACCACCGGGATTGGATGGTGATCGCCAAAACGAAGCTCACATCTCGAACATAACATAACTTTGGAGTAGGTTTGATGGATGGTAGTGAGACACGTAGGCTACATAATAACATCGATCTGTCTCTCTCTCTCTTTCGCCAACAGCTGCCATGTGGTCTCTCTCTCTATCCTCATAGGAGACCATCCCCAAACACACAGCCCTGCAGCCTAATTTAGACTTTCTGTAACACACACACACACACACACAAACAAACACACATACACTCACTCACTTCTCATCGGTCCAGTTGCAAACCATGGCATGCACGTTTTCACCAGCCTCCAAAATGCATAGACACACTGAGCACTCAGATATTGAACTGTATACACCACACCTCACTGTGTCTCTAACTATCTCTTACACATGTTTCCGTGGACATTCAAATTGGTGTAAAGTAGACACATAGCCTGCTGACCCGCACATAAACTCATTTCAAACGTGGTGTCCTTCGAGTGTCACATAACTTATCGATTGAGTGCATGCTCCTCTCAACCACAGGTGGGATTAACAGCATCGTCTCTCTGGCGCGCGCAAACACACATACATGCGAAATATACAGTATCAACATCTAACATCCATCCAGCAGATCACTCTGAGATGGACATCGCAACAAAGACAGTTTTAACAGGGATGCACGTTAAAGCCCACACCGTGTTAATTTCTACACACTCTCTCTTTCTCAGTTTAGTCATTCATTCATCATCCTATCTCTCTCTTTTTGATCCCCTCTTTCTTACCTCAGTGACGGCCTCTCTCTCGCTTGGAGCTCCGAAGCCAAAAAGCGGTTTCACCGACCCACCAGAGCGCTGCACACGAGAGAGAGAGAGAGCGAGAGAGAGCGAGAGAGAGAGTCCGTGGGATCAGAGGCAGCTGCTGCTCTCTCTACCACCAATATGCAGTTTTTTCGTGTATATGTGTGTGTCACATGGGCTCTCACCTTGGCCAATATGTGCTGTTGGGCTCCTATAGGTGTAGCCAGTCCTTTTTAGAAGTATGTGAACACAATAATAAAAGTATTAAAACTAGATTTACTTTAAGATTTTAACTGACCCTCTATAAAACAGGGACACAGAGTGGTAATAACAATAAGGAACACACCTTGGTTGTACAAAATTCCCCCCACACAGGGTGCGAACAATGGGGGATATGACATCAGCATGATTTGTGATATTTTGGGGGTCTCTAAAATATTGACAGCATGCTTTATTGCCGTTCATTTCTATATTGCATAAAATCAGGAGTGTCAGACTTCATCCAGCCAGAGGGAACGATCACCCACGGTCTGCAGCGGGCCGGTCGCTCCGTGATCTCCTGTCCCTGGCTGTACGCTCCACCGCCCCACTTCCTCTTTGTAGGGGTTGTGTCGCTACTACAACCGACGCGCTGTTAACGGTTTGTGATCGTTCCCTCTGTCTGGATGAATATTACGCATGATCCATGCACTACTGCAGCTGATGGCTCTTCCGCAGCGTCAGGTAACTTTCTAAATTCTTCCCTCTCTCGGAGAAAAGAAAGGTCAGGTCGCAAACACAGCCGCAGCTGTGAAGCCTAATTGTAGCAAAATGGCAAATGATAATTATTTTATTATTATTATAATAATAACACAAACATATCAGACCCAGGTCCACTTGCAGCTATTAATGATTCAGCAGTAACAATCTTTTCTGCACCCCCCGTCCCAGAAAAAAAAGTGATGTTGGTCTCTAATGCCGCATTCCGACCAACCGCGAATTTTCGCCTCGCGACGCTTTCCTCGCGTGAGTACATTCGCTGCAAGTTTTAACGTGAATAAACACTCAACTCACCATTACTACCATTGTATGTACCCGAAGTAAACATTTTGCTCTGATTAAATAGCAATACAATTGACTTGATTGGTTGTGGTTAAGGTTAAGGTTGGGGTACTTCTCTAGGGGAATGAGCATAATTTAATAATAAATAAATAAATAAATCAAATATTTGACTCAAATGACTTTACAATCATATGACAACCTCTATCCACGGACTCTTGTTTTAATTAAGACTTTAACAGGAAAGTAGGAAGAAACCTGAGGAAGAGGACATCACAATGTTTCGTCCTCTGTCTTGAACTCCAGAGTTTGCCACATTTTAAAGTGTCTATACATACAAACATATGGAAGCACAAACCAGGAAAAAAAGTGTGTGTTACTGTGGTTAGTCTATGAGAGAGACCAACACACACACAGGCACATCTGACTGGTCTTCAACCTCCTCATATACCATACATATCAGAGAGAGATTACTGTGTACGTTTTATTAAACTATAAATCACACACTATTGACTAAGATTTACACTAATATGGACACATCTCTATTGAAACCTATACACACTGAACAAGTTTCACTTCTTAAAAACATATCATACATTTTCTGAACGTTTCAGTACTTTACTTGTTTATGTGCTCAGACATAGTAAAAAAAAGTGTTGTCCAATTTATGCCACTTAAGTTGCACATTTTTACCGCAGCTATTTTTGTTTTGATTTATTTACACTGAACAAAATTATGAACGCAACACTTTTGTTTTTGCCCCCATTCATCATATGCTGAACTCAAAGACTTTCTCGATATACACAAAAGGCCTATTTCTTGCAAGTATTGTTCAGAAATCTGTCAATATCTGTGTTAGTGAGCACTTCTCCTCTGCCGAGATAATCCATCCACCGCACAGGTGTGGCATATCAAGATGCTGATCAGACAGCATGGGTATTGCACAGGTGTGCCTTTGGCTGGCCACAATAAAAGGCCACTTGGAAATGTGCAGTTTCTCTGTATTGGGGGGGTCCAGAAACCAGACAGTATCTGGTGTGACCACCATTTGCCTCACACAGTGCAGCACATCTCCTTCACATAGAGTTGATCAGGTTGTTGATTGTGGCCTGTGGAATGTTGGTCCACTCTTCTTCAATGGCTGTGCAAAGTTGCAGTCAGGTCGAGACCCCGATGAGGACGATGAGCACGCAGATGAGCTTCCCTGAGACGGTTCCTGACAGTTTATGCAGAAATTCTTTGGTTATGCAAACCGATTGTTGCAGCAGCTGTCCGGGTGGCTGGTCTCAGACGATCTTGGAGGTGAAGATGCTTAATGTGGAGGTCCTGGGCTGGTGCGGTTACATGTGGTCTGCAGTTGTGAGGCCGGTTGGATGTACTGCCAAATTCTTTGAAATGCCTTTGGAGACGGCTTATGTTAGAGAAATGAACATTCAATTCACGGGCAACAGCTCTGGTGGACATTCCTGCAAAATGGCATTGTGCTGTGTGATGGAACTGCACATTTTGGAATGGCCTTTTATTGTGACCAGCCTAAGGTACACCTGTGAGTTCAACTCATGATGAATGGGGGCAAAATCAAAAGTGTTGAGTTTATAATTTTGTATTTATATCACAGCTTCCAAAACAGAGTTACAAAGTGCTTTACAAACAGGGTATATGATAAATGTAGTAAAATAAAGCAGGGTAACACAGTGCATTTATATAGCAATGAGATTTTGTCAAACACACAGTATTGATAACGACCTCGCATTGTGCACACTGGTTCACTGACATGGCTTGTGCGAACCCTAAATATAATGGAGCCAATTTTTAGACTCGCATGTGCTTTTCCTGACATTAAAATGGCCGACAATATCAATCAAAATACTGGAAAAGTTCTATTAAAAGCTGTAAATTTAAGCAGATATGTTAAATTATGTGGAAATTGCATACATTTTGGTAAATAACATTACAGAGGACGTTACAAGCCAAAAATGTCGGGAACCGCTGCAGTAGTCTTCATGTACGATATCAGTACCTTGGTACTTACAAGTTAATATTGCATAACACTTGTGTAAATATGACAAATATCACAATCATAATATATTGCACATCAATATTCTGCTTCACACTCATACATCCACATATTCTGACTGTGGGCTTCCCAGAGCTACATTTGGACATGTTTATCGGCGGATTGATCTGACAAACCTCCATTTATAAACCTGCTGCACAAACAATCAAGCCACCACAACAGTTTGAGTGTGTTCAAGTGCTTTATGTGACCCCTGTCACTGTGTACCCCTCTGTTCGAACGTAACTGTGATGTGAAAGATTGTATTCTCACCCTCTTATTTCTCACTTTTCCAAACAAATATTGAATTGACAGAAAATTAGGAACCTATATTATTACATAACATCATGTTTTGATCCTTGCCGCTGGTAACATAGGGGTTTAAACTGTGCTCCCTGCTGCCGGTGAGAATAATGATTTATAACAGCCCTGAGACAAACACTGTAGGTGTCACTGAATATATTTCTGTAAAGAGGCAGCCATTGTCAGGGTCACAGATAATGCTGATTTGTAATAATAAGGCTTTGATCTTGT